TGTGTGTGTGTGCACAGCATCCCCCCCCCATCACACCTTCGGCAGCAACACACGCGTGTGCGCGCACACACACACACACACACACACGCACACACACACACCGACGTGTGTGTGCAAGCACCAGCGTGTGCAGGCAGCCTTTGCTCTCCTCCAGGTCCTGCTCTGCCCCTGCAGGTCCCACGGCTGGGGTGGGGAGGGGGGGATGCTGGGCACCCCTCCGGATCCGGCCCTTGCGCCGCAGCGATGCACTGGGGCCTTGGCTCCCCTCCCAACGTGGGCTGCTGTTCTTCCAGATTTACATCTCCCCAGGCTCTTATTCGCCTTATGCTATTTTTTCCCTGTGAAAGCCTTTTGTTGCTCTTGTTCCTTCTAGAAGCGTGAAAGGTGCTGGGTTTGCTCTCCCCCCCCTCCCCCCCCCCCCCCCCCCCCCTTCCCTGCTTGATTTTGCAATACTTTCTGCTGGCATTTCGTATTTGCTTTGATTTGGAGCTGTGAAGTGGATGCCGGCTCCTCCTGCGAGCAAGCGAGCGGCCAAAAAGAGAAGGCAAACGCTGCGGCCAGCTCCCTCGCCGTGTTTCAGTCATCCGAGTTCATGGCTCCCACCCAGGCCGGCGTGCGATAGGCACGGATTTGGGCTGGGAGAGGGCAGATCCATACTCAGATCCCACTGGCTCGTCGAAGGGGGATGTTTTAAGAGCAGACTCAACACAAGCAGTGATTCGGAAGGATCCTGGCAGTGCTTCCACCCTGAGCATCCTCCCGACCCCCCAGCCGCTGCCATGGGGTGAAGCCTCTGGTGAAGCAAGGCTGGAGGCTGTTGCTTTCCCTGCTTGGTTGTTTGGAGATTTCCAAATTTCCAACATCGATTCGGAGCTGATCCTGGACGAGCGGCGATGCTTTGGGGAGCGGATCGCCACCGCCATCCAGCACAGGCAGTTTGGATGGGGACGGGAAGGTCTTCTCTGGGCAATCTGGCTGTTGGGTTCAGAGCCCACTCCAAAACACATCTATAAAAATATTTGCAGGTACAAACCCACCGTTTCTCAGGGCAAGGCGGCCGATGAGAAGGCTACCTCCGCAACGGGGTCTGCAGGAGAAAGCTGCGGGGTGCAGAGGAGCTAGAAAGGAGGAGGGGTCCTCTCCCTGGCCCCCCTACCTGCATGTTTTCCCTGCAGCCCTGTGCTTACAGCCCTTGCTGGAAGGCCAGAACCGTTAGGGACATGCAGCAGCGCCCGCATTCACATCCACGGGGCCAAGCGATGCTTGAGCCGGGGCGCAGCAGCTGAAGCGGGGCCCTGCTCCGTGCTATTCCTGGCTCCAGCAATGACTCACTGCCTTACCTTGGGCAAATCACTCTGAAATGTGTCTAGCAGCGCTTCCCCACGTTGGGGGCAGGCTGCTCATCGTTGCCTCTGCAAAATGCACCGAGATCGCTGGCGAAGAGGTGCAAAGAAGCATTAAGCCGGGGCTGGTGATTCAGGGAGTGTCAGGGAATGAGCTGTGAGGTTCAGGTTGGAAATAAAAGAGAGGATGGAGAGAGATCCAGAAAATTATCAAAAGTGTGGAAATGGTGAGTGGGATCCAATTATTCACCGTTTCTCATCTCACAGGGGCTGGGGGGGAGCCTGGTGCAATGGCCAGAAAGTGGGTTTCAGGCCAACCAAAGGCAATACTTGGCCCTGCAGTGCTCGATGAAACTGGAACACAGCGCTTCAGGACATCATGGGGACCAAGATGATAAACAGGTTCAAAATAGTCCACCTGTGGCTACAAAACACAACCCCAACCTGCTGCTTAGGGGATCTGCTGGATGCCGGTGGGAATACGACCAAGAGGGGTCCTTGCTGTGTTCTTCACCTCTCCTTGGCTGCATCAGATGGACCCATCAGACCTTGGTCACTCTTATTTTATTTTGCTGTGCCACACTTTAACTGGGAAGTCAGGCTTTAGGATGTGTAGGGCCTCCAGTCTCTGAGCTGGAGTCCAAATCCTTGCTCTTGCCTGCTGCCGTGCACATCCCTGGGACAACTGCTGCCAGGACAAGCAGCTCCTTTTCTCCTGGAGATGGAAAAAACTGTCCCACCTTTTATACGATGCCAGCCTAACGTGCCATGGGAAGGTCCCCTGCTACTGCTGCAGGGTAGAGGCAGCTCTCGTAAACCTCTCTTCGTCCTCAGAGATGATCCTAAAATAGTGGCGACAAGAAAATAAACAATTATCCCGTGGCCTATATATGCCTCATCTGCCTGGGAGAGCGCTGCTGACTACACAGGGCTGGCTGTATAGGTACTGTCTAATGTGTCCTCTTCCTCTGGATGAATGCTTTTTTCTTTTAAATAAATAGAGACCCACTTATATTAAAAAAGCAGTCTAAAGCGATCCTCTTGGATGGCAATTTCCATGGGAGGAGTGTGGCTGTGTTAGCGCCGACCGTGGAGGTGACACCACGCATGAGGTAATGGGAAAACGTGACCATGACTAAAGCCAAGCTCCGGACCAGGTGCTGGCACAGCGTTTCCCTTCCCAGAAGGGGGACTTGGCTGGCGAGGAGGCGGGATAGCCTTCCTGGGGTGAAACGTGTCGTCATAAAAATACGGGGAGGAAATCCGTGCAGCGGCCAGGTCCCCCCTGCCGCAGGCAGGCACCTCGGGGAGGTACCGGAGCTCCCGGTTTTTGGGTCCTCTCTCTCTTTTTCTGGTCCCTGAGATGCTGTGTGAAGCTTTGCTTAAGGGCTTTAAGAACTGAAGTGTTTTGGCAAGCCGCTGTGGTGGCCCCGTGCGTGTCCACAGGGCATCTCGCAGCAAAGGTTCACCCAAGCAGAAGGACTTTGGGCTCCTGCTCCCTCCGTACACCCTTCCTGCAGTGGGAGAATCCGCGGGGCAGCAAATGATGACCCCAAAGGAAGAAGGGGTTTTTCTCCAGTGATGCTGGGAGCCCGAAAGGCATCTCTGAGCTTTCTGACAGGACACAGGTTGCTCAGCCCCAAGCTCACCCCCAAGCTCGCCCAGGACTGCAGCCCTCCAAGCGTGCCGCAGCGCGCAGGCTGCCAGCCCGGGACTCCCCCAGTCACCTGCCATCTGGAACCGGCTGGCACAAGCCACCGTCCCCAGGTGCCTGCCCGCCTCCGCCAGCCAGGGCGAGCGCTTCCTTGGCGAGCTCCTCGCTGGCTCCTGCTGATCCACCCAGATGTTTCCCCTGCAGAGCCAGGGGCCAGCTTGCTCCCAGGGGTCACCTTTCTCCTGACCGTCCCACCACGCCACGTGCAATCCATTGCAATGGCACATCAGCCTTCCTTTCCCTCCAGTTTCCCAGTCTGCGCTCCCAGTTGGGGTTATAGCATGGAATCAAGCCTTAATTCTTGGCTTTGTCCCCTGTTTCTCCCCTAGCTTTCATCTTTTGGGGCTTGGTCTGGAGTCTTCCCTACAGTCTGGGGAGATTTTGGCAGGGGGTTGGATGCTCCCGGGACTCCCAGCCCTGTTTAAGGGAGAAGGTGCCATGGATAGGAGGCAAATCATCCTCTTCCTCCTGATTTGCCTTGCCACAAGCCAGCAAGGAGCTGGGGGAAGGTCTGGGGAGCACCTTCCCCACTGCAGGACGCAGGCTGGGCAAGAGGAGGCAGCCCCAGAGCCGCCGGCAAGGGCAGAGATGGGCAGCACTGATCTGAGGCTGGAATTCATTTTTCCAAAGGGATGGGCTGAGTATTCATTCATGGCAATACTACTTTGGCACCCAAACTTGGGCCCGTGTGCCCAAAGCCGACAGATATCTAGGGAAAAGTGTAATTTCCATGTCTCCCCAAGTATTCATGGCTCATGTATCTTCTGCATTCGACCTGATGCCCTATATTTAATAGTCCTCAGTGGATTTTTCCACTGTCTGATTCCTTTTTCAACCCTTAGAATGCTCTGCGCTGTGAGATGAGCTAAGTTTTAGGTGAAGAAATCTCTCTTTCTCTTTGTCTGGAGCGTGCCCACCGCCTCCACGCTTGCAACTTCAGAAGAGCCTCCGAGCAAATGGGTGTGCGTGTGATAAATCTGCCGGCTGCTCACACGGGGCGACGGATTCCCTCCTCCTGATGATCCAAAACTCTCTGTGGTGATGGGTATAGCTGGGAAATTCCCTACTGGCAACACTAACCCCTTCCAAGGGCTTCTCTCATGGGCAAGAAAGTGGCCCTGTTGACTCTGAGCCGCTGGTCCTCAATATTCAAGATGTTTCTGTGATTCAAAAGTGTTTTTTTGCTGGAAGCTGGGGAAAAGGCAGCAACCCTGCAGTACTGCCTGCCTCCCCTTGCTCCCCAGCATTGCCATCTTTTACGGCCAACGGTGTCCCTTGGATGTTCTGCTTGTTGTTCAGGTTTGCTCTGCAGATGGGGCTGAGCAGCAGATGGAATTGGGTATTTTGAAGAAATCCCCCTGGGAAGTGCTGTT